GGGAAAGAGACAGTAGATTATACAACTATGGCGTTTCCAGGACGAAGTAAATATATTGCAAAAATTTGGCTTTATATAATAATTTATTTATTAATAGTTTTTTACATAAAAAAATTCATATTTAACGTTTATATTTCATAGGTCGGACAATAGATATGGTTTGTACGGCGATGAGATATCCTGCAGAAAATCGCCGGTCGACCGAGAGAGATATAGCGACGCGTCGTCGCACGGTCATCACAGTCCAGAGGCGAAATCCCTCTACGATCATTACTTACCGTCTTCCTCGTACGATTCCCCGAAGAGATACGTGAAGTCGCCAACCTTGGATCTGTCCGCGTCGCGCGTCAAATATCATAGTACAGATGTCATCGCTGATAACGATCTCGCGGTCTCAGGATACAAGAATACCACCATGTCGAGATCGTCCCTGAACGACGGCGGTACAACAGCGGATTTTTATTGCGGTAGGAACACATCGACCACTCTGCCGAGAAAGTACGGCTCCACCGTCGGTGGTCTGGAGCCAAAAAGTGTGGAGTACTACGAGGAGATCCTGTCGCCGAGCAATCCTGATTATCTGTCACCGCGTGACACTTGCCGATCGCCGTTGTTGGATGGCTATTTAGGCAGATGCGAGAATGGGTATCACAACAACGGCAATATCGCGGATCTGTCACAATTCGGCGCTGACAAGCAAAGATCTTACACTGATAGAATGGCGGATGTGGAACTCGCCGAAGGGAACAGCAAACTATTTGGTGAGCAGAAAGGATACATTGAACAAACGCGTTAAATTATTCTCGTTAAAAGATCAGTAAAATGAAAAAGAAATTATATAGGCATCCGTTTTCAAATATCATTGAATTCCTAAATACATATTGCAGAAATTTTTTTTATTCTAATTGTTCATCAATTTTAAGTCTCTAATTTCGAAGATTATGAATTTTTAATTTTTAATACATAATCTGTTTTCAATTCTCTTTTAAATTCACATATTCTTTGTTTTAATTTATAGCATATAATTCCGACTACATAAAAAATTTGCCTTTTTCAGAAACATAATGCAACATTTCAGCGAAACGAGAGACGTATCCTCGATAGTTGCAGATATATCTGTTATGGAACAGAACTGACTTTTAATTCAGATAGAGAAAGTAATTTTATAAGAATAATATACCAAACAGAAGAAAACGCGGCGTCTTACTATTATACAACGATTTTATATAATATAGATTTAAAATATATGAAAGAGTGAATCTCATTGCGCGTCAAAGTGTCTCGCGCTTCTTTGTCACAGTGATGAAATAGTCGCGACGACAGTAAAGATGGAACCAAGAAACATTAAACGAATACATCACATTGAAGTATAATTGATGTTCGGTTATAAGCAAGATTTTCGACTGAGTTAGCGAGTCATTTTTCTAGCGAGCTCGGATCTCGAGACGCCGAAAATTGATAATTTTCAGAAACTATTTTATATGTTATATATGTGAAGGAAGAAACTTAATCAAACTTTATTAAATAATTAAATGTAGATATATATTTTCTAGTTTTCGAGAAACTTATATTTTTCACGTTATAGAATTTCGAGTTTGTAATTCGATTTAAATGTTGGAATAAAAATTTTTATTACATAGTTATAATAGAGAGTACACTCACATAAAATATGAAAGCTTTAGATTTTCTGTTTTTTTGTTGTGAAAAGATATGTATAAACAATTGTTAAATCATGTCCTCAAAGAATTATCAAAATCGTGCTTCGCATGACTAGCTTTCTTATAACCGGAGAAAAATCAGTGTGTTTGAAATTTTAAAACTATTTGTTTTTTTAGATATACATTGTGTATTCTTTTCTGACTCAAAGATTGCGATTCAAATATCATGTAAATTTCTTTTAACATAAAAAAATTCAGAAATTTTATTTCATTTTTCTTCAATCTTCTTTTGGATCAGAAAGGATTAACGAAAAAATGTAAAACGAAATATTTTGGCTACTTTTTATCGAATTTACTTTAGAATATTTTCAAGTCTCTTCGACAGCGAAAAATAATCGCATTGACATATTTTTGTAATCTTAATGCGGATTTCACAAGAGTATACTTTGGCTCCAATATTTATAGAAATATAAATATAAAGATTGGCAGCTATATATTGTTATAATTATCGCGAATAGTAGAGATACAACGAAGAAATCTCGCGATTGTCATCATTCGTTTCATCGGTCTAACTCGCGTTCCAAAGTGTCCACTGCTTTACGAATTTAAATTGTAAGCATGTAACCGTTTTTTTTCTTGAACAAATATATCCGACATTCATATCTTTTTTTTGCCATAATTGTGTTCATAGTGTTACATGATTAAAGATGCGTAGTTTTAAATGAATTGTGTCAAGTACGTTATATCGAATGCAGTAAAGAAATGTATTCACAGCGTTATTAATTAACCGATTAATAAATAGCTCGCGTAACGATTTATTCTAAGCAGCGTGACGCTTTAGGGCGCAATGTCGGAGACTAGTAGAAAGAAACGGCGCTTTAGTTCCTCTTATATCTTGTACAGTCAAAAACTTCCAATTTTTTTTTCCATATTTCTCTATTCTTTCTCCTCTCCCTTTCTCTTGCTACGCTCTCTCATTATTCTTCACGTTTGACATTCGCATGTGTAAAGAGTGAAGCAACGGGAGAGGAAAATCGGAGAAAGAATAGGAATTATATATAGGAGGAAAGAATAAGAAAGGTACGACTGTATATTTGTGAAAAATTTCTATTTGATTACACGAGAAAAAGTAGACAACGATGTTATAGGCCTGGAAATCTCTCTGACTGATCGGCCATGATCTTCCGCTTGTTATGTATGTGTTTTCTATCGATATACATATTTTAAAATAAATATATATATCAATATTCTCTCTTCAATATCTCTTCTATCTATCGTCGCTCCTGTCATCTCTCGCGAATGCGTTATTTGACAACAAATAAAAGATCAATGAAATTAGTTAACTAGATGTTCTATTTTTCTGTTTTTTTTCCTTTGCGATGTAAAGTCGGATCTGACTCGAGCGTTATCTGCAATAACAAAATTAGAGAGTTTCGCCAATCGGGAACCGAAGAAATTATGGCAACTAATTTACTAATGAATCCTGTCAAACTGCGCTTTTACAAGGAGAGATACGAGAGGGAGAACAAATTGACAAATGTGCGAGAAACGTTTACGCCTACTATTCGAACGAAACCATTGACCGGCAAATTTTATGCGAAACATGACATTATCCCATTGTGGGACGTCCGGAAGGATGATATCGAATTGATCAAACGACGGGAAATGACGCCCAAGGATATTTATTCGTTTAGGCCACCGGCGGTAAACATGGAGTAAGTCGACGGGAAGCATGTACGTAGACATGTAAGAAACTTTTCAGTTTCAACGACAGATCATTTGTATTTAGATATGGCTGGTACTCCGCACCGCTGATACCTATCACGAAAGATCCGAGATTGCGCTTCTCCAGGAAACAATCGGATTTTGTAACGCACGAACTCGCACGCCGGAAACTGCAGAGGGGTCCACTGGAGAGGAAATTTGCCGGTGTACCGTTCAAAACATGAATATGTAAAATACTTTATACGATTTAAAATAAAGATAAAGCTTGAATGTGTTCGGCGATTTTCTTCGAAATTTCAGAAAAGGACCATCTCTCGACAATAATACCGATCGTCGTGCTGGCTGAACTTTGAAAGAAAGTTCGATATATTGATTCGAGTCTATGTTGTGTACCGCCATTCCATGGCAACAGATACTCTTTCACAAGATGGCATAGATTTCTAAAGTGTACGCGTGCGTTTTTAAATCAAGACGTTTGATCCGGGAAGCAAAATCCGGCTGCACGAATACACGAGACGGAAAATTCGTACGTCGCTGTAACTCATCATGATTTTGCCGAAGCGAAAAGTGTGATTATTTTCAAGATCCGGCAACGATGCTGTCAACCATATGATCGATGTGTCAAGCTGTCATTGGAGATGGCAGGCAGGGCTTTCCGCGTTAAAGTACAGCTAGACGTACACGCGGTACGTGTCTCCTCGTCGGTTGCCAAATATACACTTGTACGCAATTCTATTTCATATGTATAAAATTATTCATGTCAAAGGGACGTTCTTTTTCCTCCTCTTTCTCAGATAACGTGTCCCGGAGTTTGGTTGTGTCCCAATGGCAAAGTGGCTCTGCGATTCAACGCGCTCGACTTCTGCGCGGAAACACGCAGAATAAGCCCAATTTTCCCGCTGCTATTCCACGACACGTTCACCTTCAGCAAGATCTTCGTTCGAATAGCCTCCTTGGCGGAGCTGCAGCGTACTTTGGAGCGGGAGTTTCTGTATGCGGAACTAATACAGTGGACGACACCGGCACACCGTCGAGGCATTGCCCTGGCCACGTTCGAGATAAGTCTAGCGGATTTACTGTATCCCGCGCCATGCTTCAAGGGTTTACTGGCTGGAGTTGATGTAGATCTATTGATGGAGCCGACCAAATGCTTTCCCGTACGTCTCCCTTTCACATCCGGTGCTCTGTCCTATTATAAGACTTCTCATTTCGCCATTTTTGCATACCACAGGGTATTATAGCGCCCAAAATCGAGGTCTCCACCAAAACGGTTGTCGAGGAAGTGTCGGGCTCCTATGACACAAGTATGAGCAAATGTTATGTCGTCAATCCAAAAATGATTAACTCTAAGGTACTTCATAAACGAAGATCGGCGACACGAACGCATGATATTTATAATTTCTTTTTTTCTCACCATCTTTCATATATCCAATATTTAAGAATTGTCCAGGATTTCTGTAACGTCAGTTTTGTGAATCTATAAATTTCAGCAAACAATGTGCGGGCAGAGAAAAAGGCCGATCAAAGGTATTATTAGGCAACGAAGAGTCTGTCACACTAAGCCGAGATCTCAGAGCTGCCGACCGTACATATTATTATATATATAAGATATTTTTATATTATTAACATTAACAACAATACATAGAAGTTTCCTATTTAATCCTGTAATAGATATCGTCAGAGATCTAGCAGTGTCGGCGATTCTCACCATTGTGATACCACGTGTACCACGAACCATTGCATCGATCAGTGTTATCATTCAGTAAGGAAGAATTCTCCATGTATTCGAAAGCAAACCGAAGCTGCCGTGATATGCGACGATAATATTCATGTTACGGACAATTGTCCAGTTTGTTTAAAGTATAATTGTTACTTTTCTAAATGCTACGACGATTCGGATATAGCCAAGCAATATATTAAGTGTCGATGTCACAGACATTCGTCCAATACCGAAGAATGCTGCTGTATTTACGGACCGTCCGATGCGCGGGAAGAAGCGACGGTGTCATTGTAAGTTGATTAAAAAAGGCTGTATGTGTATGTTTGTGTTTCACGACAATTCTTTTACATTGATATGTCGTTACAGATTACAATCCAAAATCAGAAATCTTCAGAAAGCTAGAGAAAAATTGTGCGCTACTGAAACTATGGAGTAAGTAATAATGAAATTATCATGTCGAAAATAGAACGCTTTGATATATTTAAACTTTGAAAATATTATTTCAGTATTGAGGAATGCGATCCGAGTTGTGAGTATACTCGGGATCACTCCCGAAGTCACGAGTTTTACAAGGATCTAGAAAAATTTTATAAAAGGATGTACAAGCAAGCGAAAATACGAGCGCGGGAGGTCGACGATTGAAATAGAGAAAAATTGTCGCCGTTTAAATCTAAAATTTTTTCTAAAGATTTTTATATGAAATTTGGAAACATAGGTCAATCGAACGTTTTATATACCCGATGTTCAATGAAAGAATTTTCACTGGAAGAAGACTAGTTGATTACTAGTGATTAATTAAAATAATTAATTGACATATGCTATGCGTGCACAAGTGAAATTGTTCAATAATTAACATTACTTCAGAGATACGAGTATAATACATGATGTGTTCTTATCTTTATCAAAATAGCAGTCGCATGAAATAAAAGTGTAAAAATTGATTACACATGTAAACGATGAAATATGTGTGTGTAATGTAGGGATGTGAGGAATTTGGAATATATATATAGAAAATAAGTAAAAACTATTGTTTCTCCTTCACGTTTTGTACACTCGACGTCCGTCTTTGTATGTCGGCGCGTCCGAAACTCGTAAACCACGTAGAGCGACGGATTTCTTCAAGAGTGCCGGCGTTCTAAGATGTAAGCCGCGTCCCTGCGGGGTCCAAGCCTTTAATGAGACGCGTTCGTTTTCTTTACCAGTGATCGCGATCCATCCTGTGACAATTAAGGCTTTCATGAGATTTAGAGTCACAAGGCGCGGATGTGTTTCTGAAGCTTCTTATTTGTTGTAAAAAAAGATTACCCGCGCTGGACAAGACAACATCGGCAACTGATTCATTCTTTCCGATACCAATAACTTCCATCTCCTTGGATCCTAATGCAGGCCAATGTTTCAATCGGTCCGGATCGCTTTCAGGTACGACGAACGCTTTCGTTTCGAGTAACTCGTTGTATATACTATCCGCGTCCACAGTATTGGTTACAGTAATCGGCAATTCCCTGCTCGAGAATATTGTGCACCTACATAATAATATGCAAATCGTTTTCACAATAACTTAATATCTTCAATTTATAGATTACTCTTCGATAATATACGTGAAAGAATACCTAATGAAACTGTCACCTTCCAAATAATCCAATCTGCCGATTCCGCCCAAAAATATCGTCTGATTTGCTTTTAAAATAAATGTTCTAGGCGAGATTATTTTCGTGGGTAAAACTGACAAGAGTTCCGGTGTCGTTAGCAGATCTAAGATCTGATCTGATTGAATGGTGCCGGGAGTGTCGTAACACCAGCGGCTGTACTTATATTCCTCCTTAGTTTCATCAAAACCGAATTGTGGCATATGAGTCCAGTATTTTCCTTCCGAGAACAGATCGTCCTGTACCTTAATATTTGATTTCGATTGAAATGTTCTACCAATGTGACCTAAATTTGGATATTATAACTATTTATTCTTTCGCGTAATATATAATAACGCAAATATTTTCGATCAAATACATGCGATTGCATATCGCGATAATTGCTTGATAATACAAGCGCGATACGTACTTTGTAATGTAGCATACTTTATGTTACGCGTTGTTTTGAACTGATGGTTTCTTAATGTCTCTTCAGCATATTTGTACTGTTGTTCCTGTTTCAATCGCAACGTTCTCAAATAAAGCCTCCATCTTAGGGGATTTAAAATAGGAAACTTCAGCAAATTTAAAGTTGTGCCCGGCCAGGGAGACGTGGTCGCGCGTTGTATAAGATCCACAGCCTGTACTTTGCAGTAATCAGACTGCAGCAACGCATTAAATAGAGAGGATTTACCCACGTTTGTGCATCCAATTACATAAACGTCTCCTAAGAATTAAAAAATATATTTTAAGTATGTATTTTCTCTCTTTTTAGAATCAATTTTTTCGAATCGATATGCTTACCCTTATACTTCCACAGAGTATGTAACTTATTTATTAGTTCTTCTATACCATAGCCAGTTTTTGCAGATATGAGCGCTGTGTGCCTGATTTTCTCCTTCTTAATTCCTGTATTTTCCACAGCCTTTGTCAGGCACTCCTTAATGTGAGTAAAGAAGTGTGATGAGTCTTGAGGTAGTAAGTCAATCTTATTTCCTACCACAAATACTGGAGTCAGAGGATGCAGCACACTATTTATCCCGGGCCATATGCTACACGGAAAATCCGTAAGATCGACCATCAGGATAACGGCACACTTTTTTTTCTTTATTACCTTCAGGAGCTTTGGATACTCGTCTGCCGATACCTTCACCTCCAACGTAGTATTGTAATACTTCATGAAGTGGCATCTCTGACAGATCATGATTCGCAGTTGCTTTTCGCTTTTCTTCAGAAACAGCTCCGAAGGCAAGTAACCCGGCAGAGCGTGATCTTTGCAATGCATCAAGGCCCCACATCCGCCGCAAGGAACGGAACTGATATCGGAGTTGGGATCCGGAGTGCCGTAATTGCTGAGCCATGTATTGTCGAGCAAGGTATCATCATATTCCTCGACATCGACCATCCAATTGAGCGGAACATTGGGCAAATCTTTTTTGTCCAAAGGATCTGTATCTGTTTCTTCTAAATAATCTTTTAGAGTGAGCACTTTTCCTTTGCTGAAATTCAGCTTTTTTTCTTTCAAGTATTTATCATACAGAGCTTTATACTTGTCACTCAATGGTATTGCACATTCGTCAAAATTATTTTCGTTTGAATTGCTCGACGATGTGTTTACGCTACTATATTTATCTGTACTTGCGTACGGCATGTGTACAGATTTAACAGATTTTGTCAGATGTGCTTCTGTATGTTTTTTCTGCAAACTGTCATTGTTCTCATCATTTCTCTTGTCCAAGAGTATACTGTAGACGGGCACGTTTATGAGCCTATGATTTCGCGTCTGTTTCTCTGTGGATTCGATCTTCTTCTTCAGGAGGAAACGCTTCATATAACCCATTCTCACTTTCTGACGATCTAGATAGTCGCAATAAATTAATTTCTCTCGCAGTGCCTCGACTCTGGGGTCGACGAGCGATGCAGCAGCATCCTCCTTCACGCTGTGCTTCGTGGAATAACCGAAAGTCTGAACTAGATACTTGTATTTGTTGCGACAGGTTCTCAAATGGCAGTACGTGTTGCATGTATAGTTTCTCCACGTTGTATGACTCGTGGAAATAATCAATTTAATGTTATTTACAGACAGCATAGTCGAGATATTAAATGTTCTTCAATGTGACATTTATCATAATCTATTTGAAAGGTTGGACTCTGAAAATACAGAAATTGAAAAATAAAATTACTGTTCATGCGATTTGGAAGATAATTATATAGTATAATAATATATCGCGTGATTTCGCAATGTATTAAATAGAACTATTTTTGATCTAACGTACAATTTCATACGTGCACATGAGACGGTCGTGTAAATTAGAATGTAAATAGAGAGAAAAACTTGGGAGCAGCCATTTTGGCTTGTAAAGTAGAGGATTTCTCCATCTATATTTACTTTATAGAATTACATAGTCACTTTTCGACTACCGGTAAAAAATTGTTTTTTGGTGCGAGTCTGTACTACATTCAAAAATCAGAGATGCTGATAATTAGATCCATTTTTTAGAGCCAGCGGAACTACATGGCCAGATTCACTTTTCGCTATGGTAAAACAACCGGTTGGTGCATGTGCGTGCTAGATCCATAATTGTGGATCAAAATTGCGGAGAAATATTATGGATTTATTAATGTTTTATTAGCTGTGCGTGATGTTTTGTCATTCTATATATCCCATTCTATATATTACGGACAGCGATAATAAGTTATTATTGAAGTATTTTTATGTATATGGGCATGTGACATAAAATAAATTTTCTTAAATAAATTTCCTTAATAATTTTTTTCCTAATTTTTAAATATCTAACTTGTAGAAGATATTTACAATAAATTGTTTTTACTTTTTTCTTATTCTTGAAACAAAATTATCAAGCATTTTAAGCAATATCAAATTATAAAGAACAAGTAAAGAACAAGCGAAATGACGTATCGTCAAAGAGTTTTGAAGTCTCTTACATGCGAGGGGCTTATTCCTTTATATAGTATTTCACGAGTATACGTATATGTGTCATATTATTATCATAGAAAATAAAACTTTTATATTTTGCATTTTATCTGTTTGAAAATAATTTTAATGGATTAATGATTTTTTGCGATTAAAATGATACGAGACACGACAAAAACCGGATAATTTTTAGTTAAATATGTAATCAAAATTTTTATTATTAGCTTAATTAAAAATTATCGATAACCCGATAAAATACAAGTAAGAATTTTTCTTAAAGTAAGAATCGAAGCAACAGAAATCTAAATTATAAATTATCGTTTTGTTGCGATTCTTACGAACAATAATTATTTTTCTATCGATACTTAAAATAAAGATATTTTGTCCCATGTTTTATTGTACGACTTTTTGATTATTTAAATATAATTTGAATTGAGAACGCACAATTAATAATTGAATCGCAGGCTCAAGTAATTAACATAACGATAAGCTCTGTGATATATTAATCGTTTATTAAATAATTAATCTATAATTTAAAATATTTGTATAATTTAATATTCCGCTTGTATACATATACGTCATAGTACGTATAATATTTTCAGCTGCGAATTATCAATAACATGGTATTCAGCCTTGGCGGCGTAAACATTACGCGCTATTGTTTACGTGTTACGACTTATCATTCGCACGGCGACACTCGAACAGTAATGTAATAGTGCGAGACGCTCCATCAAATTCCTTTGCTAAACGTAATCGCGACAAGTATCGGGAAATAATTTGATATATTTAATAATTAATTTTCTCTCTTTTACTCTCTAGATAACAATTATTTAAAAATATTTAAAATTAAATATATTTCGTCCGATGTTTTTTCGTTTGATTTTTCGACGATCTAAATATGATTTGGATTGAGAACGCGCAATAAAATAGTCTAATCGCAGATCCGACTAATTAACATAACAATAAGCTCCGTGATATATTAATCGTTTATTAAATAATCGATTTATTATTTAAAATACTTGTATAATTTAATATTCCGCTTGTATATACGTTACAGTAGGGAAAATATTTCGGCAGCAAATTATCAATAACATAATATTCGGCCTTGACGGCGTAAACATTAGCGCGCTATTGTTAACGTGTTATGACTTACGGCCTTATCATTCACACGGCGACACTCGAACAGTAATATAGTAGAGCGTGAGATACTCCGTCAAATTCGAAACGCGATCGCGACAAGTATCGGGAAATGATTTGATATGATAAATTAATATTATAAATTAATAAATATTACGTTGTCGCGGTATCGCGTTTTCGCGTCATCGCGTCTTCGCGTTGGACTTCTATCTCGTTTTTACGATTGTCATAGAGGATCATATTTCGTTGCCGACTAAATGGGATGTCTCTCAGCGTTGCAATCTTTAATATATTAATACCTATTAATATAATTAATTTTATATTAATATCAGTTAATATTAATACTATATTAATATTATATATTATATAAATATTTATGTATTAATAAATTTAACATATTAATGCAGGCGCAATGTTAAAACGCCTCAGTGTCGCGGCTGAGGTGAATGCCGGCCGCGTAGCAACGTATGTTCGTGCATAGTATAGATGCATGTTCGCGCGGTTAATCTTGAACTTCGGTTCGAGAATTGGCTGTTGAGGGCACGATGTAGATTGTAGATTATAAATAAATCCGTTGCCTCAAAATGGATGGGCTACAATATATTAAATTATATAACTTTCAATAGAATTTTTTAAATATAGATTTTTTATATATATTTATTGAAACATATTAAAGTATGAATTAAAGCAAAAATTTCAAAAAAATGTAAAATATTTTTTTAATTGATAAATTTGATTTAATTTGTTTA